ATGCTGCTGCAAACCTTGTGAGGTACAGGGCTCGCAGTGATGGCAGTGTTCTCCCACTGCCCCTGCTGTGAGCCCCGCACCCAATAATGCTCCCTTGCTGCAAGCCTCACAGCCCAGGAGGCTCACAGTGTTCTCCTCACTGCAAGACCCACAACTGACAAGGTTTACCGCGGAGGCAGTGTCATGAGTTGGGAATGCTGCTGCCATTGTGAGCCTTGTCAGCTATGGGGCTGGCATTGGGTGGTGTCCCACTGTGGCTTGGAGACCATCAGTTGATGGGGCTCCCAGTCACAGGGGAGCACCTGGCCACATGTTCAATATTAATGGTGTGATTAGAACAAGCTACAAAGTTATTACACAAAAAAATATGTAGCTTATTGCTTGTTTTATCATGCCATTAATTGGGTGAACATGTAGCTGGGTCACGACTTAAAGCATGATTGACTAGTTAATCACGCCTTAAATGTAACATGTAAAGGGAGCCCTAGAAACAAGCTTTTGCAGTTCTACAACATAGTTTACAGTTGTATTTATTGAGGTGTGTTTAAATATTTGATAAAACAAGTGTAACGATGAAAGTGTGAACAAATGCTCAAAACTCAAGCTTTCAAGTTTGGGGTCTGAAATAAATGTTGCTGAGGTCTGAAAACTGCACCTAACGTGCTCGTTTTGCTAACTCAGACTTCTTTCCTAGAAAGTGCCTGAAACTGAAATTTGTAAAATGTATTCAGCATTTAGGAATTTGTGCCCATGCACCAGTTTGCTGCTTTGGTATAAGATACTGATTTGGGAGACCTGGGATTTCTGCTATCAACTGCTGAGTGACTGCCAAAAAATCAAATTTCATGTCTATCTCTTTCCTATCTGTAAATGGAGATGAGTTATCCACCTTGGTGTAATAGTATTTACATAGTGCTCCCAAAGTGGAATAACAAGAAGGAAAAAAAGAACGTATAAGCTAAAATATTTCTCTTAATCGCACCAGGGGAAGCTTCCATTTGTTTCCATGAAGTTTAAGTGAAGTTCTGCTCTTATAACTAAGAACAGAAATTGTTTTTTAAATTATCATTTTAATATAGCTAGGTGCTTTGATAAAACAAATTAGTTTTCATTGTTTAGATTGTTGTTTGATCTTAAACTAATTTTATTTAAATCCTGTCAGAAAATAGTTCTTAATTTTGCAGTTATTGTTGTCCTGTTGCAAACAAAGCCTAAAAACGATAGCTTTCTAGCAAATTATTTTACATTACACAGAGAAAGTAGGAAAAATAAATAGTTAGCCCAGAATGAATTGAAACTGTTTTGTGATTATCACAGTCAGCTGTTTCATAATATTGCATTTTAATGTCTGCATGAAATGATAATAGCGTTTGTTTCAAAATACTGTTCTAAAATCAAGAATGCTTTAGAAGTTTGTCTTTCTTTTAATGTACAACTTGTAATTTGCAAGAAAATCTACTTAAGCTTACTCCAGACAAAGCTAGGTTTACAAAGAAAACACACTGGTGAGTCCTGTAGCACCAACATTGACATTGTATTTTGCATTCCAGTGAACAAAGTGTGTGAGTCTAAGAAGGATATCTCTTCTGATATATAAGCTTTAAAAGGCTATTTTTTCCTTGAGGGGTATAGTAAGTTTTAGAAAGACAGTAAAATTGTTAAAGTGCATTTTTCCTCTTGCTTTCCCACTCCGTTTATTATCTGATAAGAGAGGTACAAGCTGCATTTAAAAAAAAAATGTAATGAAATGTAAATGGCCACCAGAACAAAGGCAAAAAATTGTTGGCAAACAGAATTGTTTGATATTGTATATTTTTCCTTTGTTTTCAGAAGCTAGGTATGTAATAGGGATGTACACACAAATTTCAAGGTTTATAAAGAAAGATCACATTACAATGAAGCTGAAAAAGAAATATGTGGTTATAGTCCCCTTGAGTGTATTCTTATGCTGGAAACACCATAATACATCTCTTTTTTACTTATCAGCGCACAATGTGCTTCTTACTCAATCTCAAATAGTCCACAGGAAAATGCTTTCCCTTTTTCTAATAAAACTAGGCATGTTTGGTACAAGAAAAATGTAGTCTCTGAGAATGTAACTTTTAAATCCAGACTTATTCTTGAAAAGTACACACAGTGCCAGGCCTCCTCAACAAATCTTGAAAAAATCAATTCCATCCATTATACAATAAAGTATAGTTAATTTTGCCCCCAAAGCACTAAGCTAACAAGGATCAAAAAACAAACACAGAGTCAATGACCTCATTCCCTTGAAGTAATCTCAATTACATATACATTTCTTTCATGAGAAGAATGCAGAGTAGATTATAAAATTCATGTTTGCCTCCACAAGAAAAGGAAAATAAACTTGCTGCAATGGGACATAACATGCTGCATTTGAAAATGTGGCTCAGGCAGCAAGAACTTTTCCTCAAGTCCAGAGCACTGGACAAACATCTAAAAATATCTGTTTCAGCGTGGTTAAATGAGAAAATGTACTACAGGCTTTTTAATGAGATCCTGATAAGTCACACTGAAATGATTGACTGAAATTAATCTAGAGAAATCAATGGAGACTTTAATTAACACTTTGGCTATACTGTATTAGAATTTCTTTGAGGTCAGTGTAATGGTAATGTTACATGGACTGTTTGCCAATCTGCTCCACCTTTCTCCGTCTGTAAATGAGTTGGTGTTGTGCTGTAATGAATGAGTATAAAATGTTCTCTCTGATAAGTTTTAATTAAATTCTTGTCTGGAAGTGAAAGTGTGATTTATAATACCAAAAAATGAATGTAATCACTCTTAGAAATGCAAACGCCACTGTTTCACCATCATCTTTTCTCTGCATTTTATTAACTTAATCAGTTGAAAAACAGTGAATTTCAGTGAGTTTCATATTTCCTTGTACAGTTTACTAAGAGAACCAAGAATTTTTTAAATATGAAGACTTTCTTGGGCTCTCAAACATCATTAGCCTGGTTTTCACAGCTGCTGTGTACCTACAGCTCCTAATAGAATTAGGTATACTCAACACCTCTGAAAATTGAGCTGCTCTTAGGAGTTCACCTTTAGGCAATCTGTTCTGAACATTTTGGCTATAGTCTCTAACTCAGTTGTGCCAACAACCACCTTCTTTTAACTGCCAATATGAAGTGTCTAATACAGGAGTTCTCCAACTTTGCCAAAGTATGGACTGCTTAGGAGAGGATGTCTCATACATGCCTCCCTTTCTTGTCTAGAAACCCATTTGCGATCATGTATAACTTCTGTCTCAATTGTAGTATGTGATAGGTTTGTCTGCACATGTACTAGCATTTGGGCAAAGGGGGTGGTCTCTTAATGTGTTGCTTCTGTAGATCTGTTAATGAGCCAACCTGGCAGCGCACGGTTATTTTTAGCAGCTATGTCACCATAATCATGTGCTATAGTAAGGTGCTTGTTGTTACAGTGATGTAGTGTTTGCATCACAGTTTGTGCCTGCTGACGCTATGTCACCATAGCAATGAGCTACGTTGCTGTAGTGCATTGTTACGGTGACATTGCATCATGTGTAGATGCACCCTGTGGGCGCATCCAGACTAGTACAGTCGCGTGGTGTGTGGTGCCGCAAACAGGTTTGCAGCGCCATGTACTGCACAGTTCAGTGTTCTCTGTGTTGCAGAGGCATGCTGCCCAAGCATGTGCTGCTCCGTTTTTTTTTCCTTGTGGATTTTTCTGACCTCTGGATATCCAGGGGTCAAAAAACACAATGGACAAAAAAAACTGAAGCAGCGCATGCTTGGACAGCATGTACTGGTGAAAAGTGGAGCCAGGCTGCCTGGAGCTGCACTGCAGCTGTAGGCCAGCCTCTGCCTGGCAGGATCGCTGTGGCTGCAGCCCTGGCAGGCCCCCAGGACCCTAGGTAAGGCTACTGGTGCCACTGCTGGCCCCAGCCTCCCCTACTGCTCCCCAGGGTAAGTTGTCAGTTGCCAAAGCTTGCATGGCATGGGCATTCCCTGGGGACAAATAGCTGTGGCACAAGGTACACCACTGCTACTTGTCCCCGGGAAACCAAACATCCACACACGTCTGTACGCACCCTATGTGTTCTTAGCAGTAATTCGAATAGAATAATCCTGTTGCAATTTCAGCTTGTGCAGGTCATTTTATCTCCCTGTTTTCCTTCCCAACTTTGCTTGTCTTGTCTATTTACCATATTTATCTGCATCCAAGATGACCCTGAATTTAAGATAAGCCCCCAATAATTAGATTCTGTACATGAAAATGTATAAGAAATGTTATACATATACCCCTGAAAATGTTATAATTTTCCATGTATAGAACCTAATTATTGGAATACCATATTAAATTAATCCCCACTACCATTGCAGAGGGGGAAAGCAGCAGAAGGGGGAAGGTGGTGGGGGTCAGGCAGTGAGGGGAGAGGTGGGAGGGGAGGCAGCTTGCCCCCCTGCCTCCTGTTCTCCACCCCTGCGCCCCTTCCACTTACCCCTGCTTCTGTCTATCTCTCTCATCCTCTGGCCTCTGTTCCCCTTCCCCCGTCTCCCCTCTATACTGTTTTGCCCCCAGCACCTTCCACCCCCTCCCCACTACTGCTTTCCCCTCTGCAGTGGTGGTGGGGATGAATTTAAAACGAGCCTCCAATAATTAAGTTCCATACAGGTCTCTGTTCCCCTTCTCCCATCTCCCTGCCCCGACCTCTTCTGCATCTGTGTTCCTCGTGTGCCGCCCCCCGCCCGGCGCCACTTACCCTTGTTCTGTGCTGGCAGGTTCTATCCCCACTGAAGCCTGGGATGTGGAGCATGGCTAAGTTTTTACTTGTAGGACAGTGGGACTCTGCTCTGGGTTAGAGCTATTGTGATGCAAATAGTAGTGTAAAGGGTTCAACTTTGTAGTTCAGGGGCCTACAAATCTGATCTCTAATGGGTACATTTATGGAAAATAATATATTGTTGGTGCTTTGATGGTGAAATATGTTGTGCACTTGTGTATTACAGCCCTGGTTGTGAGTACCGCATCAGCTGGATTTGCAATGGCTCCAGTCCCTTTTGACTTCACTTGTTTCCTGCTTGCCTCTGTTGGAACTGGACTTGCTTCCTGTGCTGCCAACTCCATCAATCAAGTTAGTGCATCATCTTTGTTTGTACTGCAAAATGATGTCTGAAAGTTCAAAACATTTTCACTGACTCTACATGGATAGTGTGATGTGACAGGAAATATGTGCTGTGCAGATGTATAAAAATGTGTTTTCTCAGAGTTGGTCGCCAGTATTGTCTGGGGTCAGTTTTGGTAGGGGGTTAGGTGCTACTAGCCATATCATGCCTCAGTCTCAGTGGTCTGTGACAAAAGCTCAACCAGGTTTATTGTCTACAAGCCTAATCCCAAGCATCCATGACTAGCCAGTACGTAGTGCTAGCCAAGTTATTTGCAGGCATGGTACAAGCATAAAATGCATTTGTGCCCCCAAACCCAGTATACAGCATTAAGGTTTCCTAGGACCCTTTCTATATACCAACCGATAAAGCTCCAGGTTTATATCATGCATAACCTAAAAATACTAAAATATAGGATCATAGGAAAACAGGGCTGGAAGGGACCTCACAAGGTCACCTAGTCCAGTGTCCTGCTCAGTGTAGTATAATTCCTGACTAAACCATCCCAGTCAAGTGTCTGCCCAACTTGCTCTTGAAAATTTAAGTGGCTAGAGATTCCACAGCTTTTCTAGATAACTTGTTCCACTGCTTGCCCACCTTCGTAGTCAAAAAGATCCTTCTAATATCCACTCTAAAATTCTTCTGCCACAGCTTGAGGCCCTAGTTCTGTCCCCTACAGTCACAGAGGAAAACCCATCCTCATTCTTTTTGTAATCTCCCTTCAGGCATTTGAGGACTGTTAACAAATTCCTTCTCAGTCTTCTCTTCTCCAGGTTAAATAACCCTAGTTCTTTTCAGCCTTTCCTGGTAAGTCTTGTCTTGGAGGCCCCTAACCATTTTTGTTGCTTAGCACTGGGCTCTTTCCCAACTGTTCACATCCTTCTTGAAGTGTGAAGCCCAAAACTGGACATAGTACTCAAGGTGAGGCCTCATCTGTTGAATAAAACAGAAGAATCACTTCCTTTGTTTTGCAGGTAACATTCCTGTTAATACACCCTAGTACACTGTTGGATTTTTCTAGCAACAAGAGCATACTGTTGGCTCATATTCAACTTATGGTCTAATGTAACCTCCGGGTCCTTCTGTGCAGTACTGAAGTCTAGGGAATCATTTCTCAGTCTGTATTTGTACGTGCAGTTATTCCATCACAAGTTCACGACTTCGCATTTGTCCTTGTTGAATGAATATCTGCACCCCAATATTAACCAGATAGTGTGACCTTCTCACCAGATAGGGAATCTATTTACCAGGTTAGTCTGATCCTGTTTTGGTGTCCTGTACTGGTTTTTATCAATCATTCTCTATCTATTGGCCTTGTGAGGTGCCTATAAGGCCTAACAGTTAAACTTGCTCAGCGTTTCCGGGTAAGCTACATATGGTATACCTAGTTCCTTTGTCAGTGAGGCCTACTTTGGTCAATACCGTTAGCAGGGCCTGTGCGGCCGCCACACCCTACTTTCCCATGGCCGATTGCACGTGCAGCTCCTTGGGTTGCTGATGGGCCTCGTGCCTGGCCAATTGCGCACCGCCTGTCAGCAGCCCGCGGAGTCCGCCTGTGCAGCCCATAGAGGGGCACTGCTGCCCTTGCCTCCCCTGGCCCTGTTCCTGTGAAGCAGCAGTGCAAGGTGGTGGGTGGCAGTGGTGCCTGCCATGTGTGAACCCCCCTAGCCCCACATCTGTCCACAGAGGGGTGCCACTGCCCTCACCCCCACCCTGCTCTGTCCCTGCCTGCATGCATGTACCCCCTATCACGTTTCCAAGTACCCCTATGGGTACACGTGCCCCCGGTTGACAACCCCTGCCTTATAGCAGTAATGCTTGTGTTGGTGACATGAAATGTGTCCATTGAAAATGCTTTGAGGTAGAACTGTGTAGTTGAGTATGGGAATAGGTGGTAAGAATCCTGGCTTATATTCTTAATTCTTTTTTTGTCTTATTGCATGACCTTTGTCAAGTCACTTAGGGTGCTTGAACAAACGAAGGATGCTTTGATGTGTTCTAATTAGAATGTTTCAGCATCCTCGTCATCACGTGTATTCAGCATCCCCATGTTTCAAAATGGTGGTGAGGGTGCCTTAACTAAAGCTCATCAAACAAGCTTTACTTAACGTGTCCCCACCGGCATTTTGAAGTGTGGGACACTGAATATACAAGATTTCATAAATGTCATAGACATTTGGGCTGAAAAGGACCCCTGGAGGGACATTTGGGCTGGAAGGGACCACATCCAAATGTGTCTGGAAGGCATTCAAAGTGGGTGCTTGAACTGCCTCCGGCAGTCTATTCCAAACCTTGGGGTCTTGGACAGTGAAGAAGTTCTTTTTTATGTTCAGCCTGAATCGGTCGCAGTGGAGTTTGTGACCATTCGATCTTGTCATCCCTTGGGGCGCTCTGGTGAACAGACGTTCCCCCAGATCCTGATGAGCACCCCTGATAAACTTATAGGCGGCCACCAGATCACCCCTGAGCCTGTGATTTTCCAGGCTGCAGAGTCTCATGGCTCTCGGCCTCTCATCATAAGGTCTGTTTTCCTGACCTCTGATCATTCGCGTGGCTCTCCTCTGCACCCTCTCAAGCTTCTCCACTTCCTTTTTGAATTGTGGAGCCCAAAGCTGGATACAGTACTCCAGCTGTGGCCTCACCAAGGCCGAGTACAAGGGGAGAATGACGTCCCGGGATTTGCTTGAGAAGCATCTATGGATGCAAGCCAGTGTTTTGTTTGCTTTACTAGCCGCAGCATCACATTGAAGGCTCATGTTCATCTTGTGGTCAGTGATGACCCCCAAGTCCCTTTCATCTGTAGTGCTAACCAGCGTAGCACTGTCGAGCCTATGGGCATGCTGTAGGTTTTAAGATGCTGTGAGCATTTTAATTGCAGTGGCTCCTGAGAGCCGCTCTAATTAAAACGCTACCCTCCCCATCACCCCCCAACCTGGAGCATGTGTATAGACTCACTTAGACATCAAGTCAGTACCCACTGAATTTAGTTTTGCCAGTTTTTTTCAATGGGCTCATAGTAAGGCCTGTAAATTAAGTGTACCAGTGCTGTCCTGTATAAGAGGAAAAATAAGTTACCTGCATTCATAAACTGTTTTCAGATCTTCATATGAAAGTGCTTACAAAGCAACCATAAAGATTAATAAAAGTATACAAAGTACTTTTTTCACCCTCTGATTACTGGGTGCATATCTTATACAAATCTGAATGGGAAAGCTGACTTTTAAATGAGCTTTTTAAGTGCATCCAATGTTCTTGCTTTTGATGCAGTTTTGAAGATGAGCCAACAGCCGTTCTTTCTCAGTTTTTCTTGTATTTCCCATGTTGTTCTGGTTTTGTTCATACTCCAATTTCAATGTGTGCCCTAACAGAATAATTTCAAATGGATTGACAGTAGGTTCCCTTTGGAACTGGATGCTATAAAGCTAAAAAGAGAATAGATTTTTTTTTTTTTTTTGGAGACAGTTGTTTTACCTTTCTCCTTTTGAGATTCTGGTAAATCTTCTTAGCAAATAGTTAGGTTTGTACCAGGGGCTTCTTTTCTCAGCTTTCAGTTTCCAGATATTCACCATTACTATGTTTTGTCTCAAAAGTAGCTATTTTAGGTACTGCTGATAACATTTGGGGTACCTGAGGATGCTAAGAATTCCATAATATAATTTGGAGTTTGCCATTTCCAGGGCTTCTCTTACATCAGGAGGTTAGTGTGCAGTAAACTTGAATTTGATTTTATAGCAAACTAGCTACTCTGCACTGATTCCCCTGATAATGTTTTTAATGTAGCTCACTCAGGAGTTAGTGCAAAGTAGTGTAAATTCATGTACTACCCTACTGCATAGTAATTACCTTGATTTGCAAGTGACACGCCAGTTAATACAACAGGTAGACTATCGCCATTTAATACAACAGGTAGACTGGCAGCTTCTCTTTTTCAAAAAAAAAAAATTGAATAGAAGAATGTTTTAAAGTCATGACAAAATAGTGACAGTTCTGGGCATTACACATCAGTGGATCATTTAACTTGGTATAAGACTCTCTTCATTTGGTTGGAGGTTGTTGAACTGCAGAAGCCTGGGAATTTTGGTGTGAATAAGCATTGCAAAGTATGCGGACTCATCTGATTGTTTTGGAAGTTCACAGACCTAGATCTTCCTCCTTAGTACTTTCATACCTGTCCTTTTTGGGCAGCTCAATGACTCGGGTTCCCTTACTGGCTCCCTTCTGTCCTGTATAAGCTCGCTGCATTGAGGACCTACTTCGCACAATGCTACAAGTCTACGGCTGTCTCTTCTAGGGCAGCCCATACCTCTTCCTCCTTTCATTCCTATTACACATTTATACCTACAATTTATAATATCAGAAGACAGGGTGAGGATGTAAAGTTTTGATCACATAAGGATCGTCTTCCCTGTGGTTTTGAACAGATGTAAAAAATAATTTATCCAGTTGAACCTGTAAGTAGAATTTATATAGGCAGACCCACTCATAGTAGAACTCACTAAAGATACTGGAATTAATCTCTCTATTCTAGAAGAAAAACACAGAAGGGAAGATACAGGTACTTGATGCCTTTTTCAACACTAACCATCTCAAAACTGAAACAGTGGCCACTGTAGAGGTCTCAAAAACATATACACAGGACGTTGGAAAGGGATTTTTAAATAGTCTTTTTCTCTCTAGACAGATGATTGGTACAGAGCTCATTATGCTACAGTTTCTTGTTCTATATGCCCAGCCCTGCACAAAAGAGTGCCAAACCTAAGGCTTCCAAAAATGTGTGAGGATGCATTTAGGATGAGGAATAGGAGTGTAATGAAGTGTCTTTCTAATTTGAGATGTGTGCATCCTTGTGCATAATACACATAGTAGGCACATCTGTTCCTGGTTAGACCTAAAGAGGCTCAATGAAATATTAGGGGTGGAAAAGCACAGGCTCAGGGGCGATCTGGTGGCTACCTATTGTCATAACCCA